AAATCAGTCAATCCTAAAAGAAATCAACCCTGACTGTTCCCTGGAAGGCCAGATAATGAAACTGAAGCTCAAATACTTTGGCCACCCAATGAGAAGGGAGCACTCACTGGAGAAGACCCTGATGCTGGGAAAGACTGAAGGTCAAAGAAGACTGGGACGGCAAAGGATGAGATGGTTAGACAGCGTCATCGATGCAACGAACATGAAGTTGAGCAAACTTCAGAGGACAGCGGAAGACCGGAAGGCCTGGCGTGATCTGGTCCATGGGGTCGCGAAGAGTCGGACTCGACTGTGCGACTGAACAACAACAAACCTCTATTGATCAGAAAGCTTTCCAGCTGAGCAATTACCTGATTAAGAGGCTGCAGCTGAACGGTAGCCGGCCGGAGACAATCGGGTCTCAACGACAAGTCCCGGGGCTGGAGCGCTCCAGTATGCCTCGAGAGGGGGCTGAGCGAGCCAAGCCACCAAGGGGGAAGCGTGCTCGTATCTGTGCCCCCAAGGACTACCCAGGTATGGGCATCAGTTCTCCTCCACCCCAAAATGGGCAGGGGTGGCCCAAAGGAGAGAAGAATTCCCGAGCACGGATCGTGCGACAGCTGTTCGACACAGAGGAAGCAGAAAAACTTCCCCATTTCCCAGAAAACCTCTGGGGCCGGGCAGAAGGGACGGTCGGACACCGGAAGGCAATACTGACCGGACAGGTCGGGGTTAAAAGGACGATACTTATGACTGCTTATAGTTTCAACGCTTTACCATCTGCGGCCCTTTATGGAAGATTTGCAAATGTTCCCTACTCTGAAAGGACCTGTCTACGTAGTAGCGGGAAAACAGAATCGGTTCGTTGTGAATTCTACGGCACAATACGAGTTGTCCTAATCGGCCCCCTTTTGATCAACGGGCACGGTTGCCTTCCTTCCTTCTATCAGATCTCCACCCTCATATTCCCCTTGCAGTAGCGAGGTTCCTCTCTATTGCTGTGAGGGTTAGAGAATATAGGGTTTAAAAGCTCTGGTGGGACGACTGACTGTACATTTAAAATCGGTGGTTTGTCTGAGGCTGTTTTTTTCTTTTTCTAATCTACGCCAAGAAAGGTTTTGACTGGCTGGCTGGCTTTGGGAACTGATCAGGAAAAAAGGCACGCACCCTTTTCAGAGTGGATGGCGGCAGCAGCAGAAGAAGAAGAGGAGGAGGAGGAGGAGGAAGAAGAAGAGGAGGAGGAGGAAGAGGAGGAAGAGGAAAAGGAAGAAGAGGAAGAGGAGGGGGAGACTGGATTTCTACCCCCCCTTTACTACCCAAATTAGTCTCAGAGCGGCTTCCAAACTCCTTTCCCTTCGCCTCCCCACAACAGACACCCTGTGAGGTCGGTGGGGCTGAGAGAGCTCTGACAGAGAAACTGCTCTTTTTCAAGGACAGCTCTGACAGAACTACGGCTTGCCCAAGGTCATCCAGCCAGGTGCAAGTGGAGGAGTGGGAAATCAAACCCGGTTCTCCCGGATTAGAGTCCGCGCACTTAACCACTACACCAAACTGGCTCTCATGCCTTTCCCCCCCGTCCAGTTGCAACCCACTTACGGCGACCCCAAAGGATTTTCAAGGCGAGAGATGTTCAGAGGTGGCCTGCCACTGCCTGCCTCGGCGCAGCAACCTTGGGCTTCCTTGGCGGTCTCCCATCTGAGTACTAACCTCGGCCGACCCAGCTTAGCTTCCCAAATCTGATGAGGTCAGGCTGGTGGGGGACAACCGGGTCAGTGGAGAGATGAGCAGTGGAGGTTTGCCACAGCCTGCCTCTGCATAGCAACCCTGGTCTTCCTCGGTGGTCTCCCACCCGAGCACTAACCAAGGCTGACCCTGCTTAGCTTCTGAGATATGACAAGATCAAGCTGGCTTGGGCTGTCCCGACAGGGGTATGCCCAGAGATTTAAAATATCCGGAAATTTTGAAGCTCAGAAAAAAACCTCATTTTTTTTCTGGAAAAAACCCGGAAATTTTCGGAAAAAATTGAAAAAAATGCTACATTCGCACTTTTTTCTTTCTTTTCCAGGTTGAAAGTCAACCTGCTACTTTAGGAACATAAAATATGACTATGGACAGTTTAACTTGGCATGAAATGATCACAACTAGCATATTAAAAATATAGCGTATCCAAACAATTATTACAAACAGAATACCCACCCACGTGCAAAAACAAAACTGAACCCTATTTTTTTTCTTGTGACAATAGCACCTCCTAAAGGCAGAAATGCACCTTGTTCTTGCATTGGAGAGTTCAGTTCGAAACCTAGGACTTGCTTGTCCTCAGTGCACAGAAATTAGATCAATCTGATACCACACATTTTTAGAAATGATTTGGAAACATATTTGAACACCTTGTCTTAAAATATTTTACTCATCATGTTAAAATAAAACGTTCCATAATCATTTTTTTTCTTTTCTTTTTTCAAATTTTCCAATTTTTTGGAAAAAAACCCCAAAAAGGCTTCAAGAAAAAAACGGGGAGGTTTTTCTGGGCCTTCACATTTCTAAGGTATGCCTCCAGTTACAGAACACAAACAGAAGCCTGCCGTTTAAGCGTCTAAAAAGGCGATAAGGCCCAAGTATTGGAGGAAAGATAAAATACCTTTAAAAGAAGAAACTATAAGTAAAATTTTGGAAACAGAAGAGATGGACAAATTAACTTTATTTCTGAGAGTACAAGAAGAAAAATTTCACAATGCATCATGGTCAAGATTTTATACCTGGTTGGAAGATTTCAGTAAAGGAACTGTATAACTCCTTAACATTTATTAGAGACATTATAGATACTATCTACAGTTACCTGCAGACTCTATGGATAAAAGATTTCTTTTTGCTTTATGGTATGCATTTTAACACTTATCTGGATACTGTAATTGGACAGACTATATAGACTCTGAAGACCCCCAACCTATATGTGGGTTTTTTGTATGTTTTGCATGCTTGTTTGTGATGAAATAAAAAATTTCTCAGCAAAAAAAAAAAAAAAGGCTATAAGGCACTGTCAAGGGCCCACCGGGCCAGATCCAGAACACACACAGGCCAGTAGGCTCAGCATGAGCAATCATTTGCCCCCCACAACCCCACCGTCCCAACCAGCACCAAGAGTTAAGGTCAACAAGCATTTGACCCTAGTGGTGCGGTGAATCAGGTTTTTCCCCTGCAGATGAGAAGTGCTCACTTACCGCATTGGGTGGCCCCCGGCAGAGCCACACGGCTGGGCACGTGGGCAATCCGCTTCTTTTCTCCTTTGTGCAGCGCAAGGGAGCTCCTCGGGGGCGCTGTGGGTGGTGGTGCGGGTGACTGCAGGGTCAGCTGCGCTGCCTGCTGCTGCGCCAGGCGGATCCTCTGGTAGCAGACCTCTTGGGCTGTGGGCAGGCGGTAAGGCCGGACCGCCGGCTTGCTCGGGACTTCCACCTGCAAGGGCCAAGAGGCACAGAGTCGGTTTGTGCAGGTAAAGAGGGTCTCGGGCAGCTCGGGCCAGGCGGAATCTGGCACTCGGGGACGCAATGTTCCCTCTAAGCTGAGTTAGCGTGAGCTAGCTCAATGACTTTTAGCCTCCGGCTAACACATTTTCGTCTCAGCTCAGGAAGGAGGGCTCCAGAGCAAACTAATTTATGCAGCAGCCAAATGGCTCGTTCACAACTTCAATGCCAGCAGCTCACAAAGTAGAATCTTTGCTCACAGAACTCCACAGCTTAGAGGGAGCACTGCTGGGGAGGCGGCCATGTGTATTCTTAGTGGGCGGCCGTGTTTTTAACAGATTGATCCAGAAAGGTGGGCTTGCTCTACCAGTTCATTTCCATGAAAGACAAAGCAGAAGAGATTGGATTTACACCCTGCCCTTCACTACCCGGAGGAGTCTCAGAGCGGCTGACAAACTCCTCTCCCTTCCCCTCCCCACAACAGACACCCTGTGAGCAATGCTCCCTCTAAGCTGTGGAGTCCAGTGAGCAAAAATTCTACTCTGTAACTACTGGCATTAACGTTGTGAGCGAGCTATTTGGCTACTGTATAAATTAGCTTGCTCTGGAGCCATCCCTCCTGAGTTGAGACAAAAATGTGTGAGCCGGAGGCTAAAAAACTGAGCTAACGATTTGGCTGCTGCATAAATTAGTGTGCTCTGGAGCCATCCTTCCTAAGCTAGGGCAAAAATGTGCGAGCCAGAGGCTCAGCTTATAGGGAACACTGCCTGTGAGGTAGGTGGGGCTGGGAGAGCTCTTTCGAGGACTGCTCTTGAGAGAACAGCTCTAAAAGAACTCGTGACTGACCTAAGGTCACACCAGCAGCTGCATATGGAGGAGTGGGGAATCAAATCCACTACACCAAACTGGCTCTCAAAGGCGAGAGGCTTTAGAAATACACACACAACTGAAAAGCCTTTCACCTGTCTTTGGTAGCTTTGCTCCTATTTACCAGTTTTCATAAGGGAGCCGGAAACTGAAAGCAAGAAAAGGATTCATGGGGCGGAGGGAGTTAAAGAACGCGTGGCCCGAATCTCACCCGAGGGACATGCTCAGGTTATCACGACACATGCTGCTCTCCCCGTCTCCCCGCGCACCGCTTTGCAAAGTGGTTCGCCGCTGCAAATATTTGAGTTCAGGGCTTTCCAACCCATTTAACGCCAATCTCTTATCTCCTGGGGGTTCTTTTTGGAGGGGGTTATTTGTGGCGAGGGGGAGAAGTTAAAAGAGAAATTGACAGGGGACGCACAACTGGCCCAGTGCTTATTTGTGCTGACCACAAACGTTTTCCTTGTGACAACAGAGAGCTTATTGACTGAGGGCACGGGAGGAAAGCAGAGAAGTCGCAAGCGTTGCCAATAGAAGGCCGCTTCGTTTTGGGAAACAGGTTGGCACCAGCCCCCCCAGGATGGAAAATCCTAAGGGGGAGGTGAGCAGGAGGAGTCCGTGCCATGCAGAGGGAGGCTCGGGTGCCAACCTGTACTGTCCGAAGCTGTAGAAACACGTTTGAACGCTGGCATTTGCGGGTGAATGTACACGATCCCAGACAAAGGTATGTCGTGCCTGAAGCAGCAAGCTACTCACTGGTACGTGTGGGAGCCAGTGTGGTGTGGAGTGGTTAGAGCATCGAATTAGGATCTGGGAGACACACTCTGTCAGGGAAGCTTGCTGGGGGACCTTGGCTCAGTCACACACACATACAGGCTAACCTACCTCACAGGGTTGTTGTGAGGATAAAGTGGAGACAACCAGAAAGACAACCAGAATTGGATCCCTACCAGGGAGGACAAGGAGGATGAGGAAGGGAAGGAGACTGGATTTATACCCCACCCTTCGCTACCAAAAGGAGTCTCATAGCGACTTACAATCTCCTTTCCCTTCCCCTCTCCACAACAGACGCCCTGTGAGCAATGCTCCTTCTAAGCTGTGGAGTCTTGTGAGCAAAAATTCTACTCTGTGAGCTACTGGCATTAATGTTGTGAGCGAGCTATTTGGCTGCTGTATAAATTAGCTTGCTCTGGAGCCATCCTTCCTGAGTTGAGACAAAAATGTGTGAGCCGGAGGCTAAAAAACTGTGAGCTAGCTCACACTAACTCAGCTTAGAGGGAACACTGCCTGTGAGGTAGGTGGGGCTGAGAGAGCTCTCCCAAGAACTGCCCTTGAGAGAACAGCTCTGAAAGAACTTGTGACTGACCCAAGGTCACACCAGCAGCTCCATGTTGAAGAGTGGGGAATCAAACCCGGTTCTCCCAGATTAGAGTCCGCGCTCCTAACCATTATTACCTTATTGTGTATAATAAGCAGAACCAAACCGGCTCTGTGGGAAATAAATAAATAGCGAAAGCTGAAGACAGCCTGGAGGCAACAGTCAGCAGTCACGAGTGTCGTGTATGAATGCCTGCTTTGGCAATTTCCCCCAAATTCAAGTGGGACTTTCAGTCTTCACATGTGAGCATCAGCTGACACCAAATTCTGGCAGTTCACTGTGGCATATATTTAAGCAACAACCATTGCCAAAGGCTTTGGGAACCTTCAAATGTTGCATGCTTCGGTAAAAGGAGATGAGCTGCTATATAAGATCTGTGATTTGATCTTCCGGGTATTTTAAATAAATAAATTACACCTCTGCAGGGCCCTGACTCAGGACTGGGCTGTGGGTGGAGGGGACAGTTTAAACCAAGGATACTTGCTCAGTGGCTCGGGAGCCACAGGTGACTCTTTTGAACACCATTCCCCAGTGTGGCGCCTGCCCCATCCTTCAGGGAAACAGGCAAGGCTTTGGACCAGTGGGGCTTGTGGTTGGCCACGGATTCCCACCCTGAAACAGGCCCTGCTGGAGGAACGGGTAACCTGTGAGCCTTCCTGCCCTCAGGCCAGGTTTGGAAACAAATGTGGCTCTTTTAGGTCACGGCGATCTCATGAGTGGCCAATGTAGGATCTCATGAGTGGCAAGGTGAGTGCCACTGGTTTAAAACTAGCAACCAATGGAGCAGGAAACAGAACAATGAGCAGGGCTATTTTTGGGCAGGAACGCACAGGAACGGAGTTCCGGCTGGCTCCTGAGTTGGCCATGCCCAGCAGGAACTCATTAGCATAAAAGGCCACACCCAACAGCAGAAACTCATTAGGATTGGCTACATTAGGGGTGTGTGGCGTAACATGCGAAGGAGTTCCTGCTACAAAAAAAGCCCAGGGTCTTGACAACACACAACGTAAACAGAATAAGAAGCAAAAGGTGGGTGTGGCTGGATGAGCACACTTCTGGTAACACGGGGGTGTGGCCTCATATGCTAATGACCTGTGCTGTCAGGGGTGTGGCCTAATAAGATAATACGTTTCTGCTGTTGGGTGTGGCCAATTATGCTAATGAGTTCCTACTGGGCTTTTTCTACAAAAAGAGCCCTGAATGAGGAAAGAATAAGAGGAGATTGGATTTATACCCCGCCCATCACTCACTCGGCATCTCAGAGCGGCTTACAATCTCCTTTCCCTTCCCCACCCTACAACAGACACCCTGGGAGGTCGGTGGGGCTGAGAGAGCTCTCTCGAGAACTGCCCTTGAGAGAACAGCTCTGAAAGAACTTACGACTGACCCAGGGTCACACCAGCAGCTGCATGTGGAGGAGTGGGGAATCAAACCTGGTTCTCCTAGATTAGAGTCTGCGCTCCTAACCACTACACCAAACTGACTCTTGCTGAGGCGCTGAAAGGCAGTGTTAAGCACAGTGTTGTGCCTTGGAAACCACACCCACCCACCATTTACCATCAATGGGAAATACAGGCTGCCGCCTTTAAAAGGTTAGATCAGTTTCCGTTATGGGCACAGTGCAGGCCAGGTGGGGAAGGCAGAAAGCCCTTTCTCCCACCTCAGCACTGTGCCCTGCCACGCCTCGCCATGCCCCAGTCAACCCAAATCACAGACCCTGCATAGCCACAACCGCAGTTCAAAAACTGCTGGGAAGACCCAATCTCTGACCTTCTGGCACCTCATCAGCAGGGACCCTTTATACCTTATGTTTTCGTTATATATACCACATTCAACAATTTCTGAGCGAATCATTCTCAATCCTTTTGGGTTGGACTTGTGGGTGCGTCAAGTTCCTAGCCGACAAGGGGTCAGGGATGAAGGCGGGGGCCGGGGTCCCTGTGTGGGCCCCTCTCGACCAATGGTATTTCGCACCTGCGGTGCTGCTCCAAAAGAGCCACTTACGCTTCCTTGCTTGGTCACGTGGGAGATCCTCCGCTTCTGGCCAGGAAAGAGGGTGGTTAAACTGTCCTCCGCTACTTTTTCGTGAGTCTCTTCCTCTCTGGATGGCTAGAAAAAAGAAGGGGGGGAGAGAAAAAGTTTCAAAATAATATTTGAAAGAATTTAAACATGTGTATCCTGCTCTTCTCCTTTTTTTAAAAAAAGATTTTTTATTAGTTTCGGCAAAAGTAAGGACAGACAACTACAGAAAAGAAGAATGACATATAACAGAGAAACAAAACAACATCAATAGAGCATACACTCTTGTTTCAGTTCTTATACACCTATCCTGCTTTTCTCCTTGTGCATCACCTGCATGGGCTTCCATGGGGTGGTGAAGTGCTTGCAAATGAATGGACAAGGTGAGGTGAACGGG